TCCCAGTGCACAATATTAGATGTGGACTCTCCGAGCACACCTATTAGGCCTCCGTTTGAGAAGTGGGTTGGCTTTTTGGCTTTTTTGACTATTTTAGACTGGGCTTAAAAGCTTGGTTTGGGAACTTAAAACATGTTTTTTTTTCTTCAAGTCCACTAAAAAAAAAAAGAATTAAAAGAACAGAAAAAAATGTTAATATTTATCCCAGTGCACAATATTAGATGTGGACTCTCCGAGCACACCTATTAGGCCTCCGTTTGAGAAGTGGGTTGGCTTTTTAGTTTTTTGGTTTTTTGGCTTTTTTAGACTGGGCTTAAAAGCTTGGTTTGAGAAGGACTTTTTGGCTTTTTGACTTTTTTGAGTTTTTTTGTGAGAGAAGAATGTAATGATTATGGGTTGGATGTGATGTTTTGTTTGTTATGGCTAAAATAACCTATTTTGTTTTTTTTTGGCTAAAATAGTCACAAAAAACCTACAAACTCACTTGCCAAACACAGGCTAGATAATATTCTGGAGAATTGGAGATGTGCTAGAGCACTTCATCTTCAAACATTTAAAAATGGTTAATGTATCCTCACATAGTTCTGATCCTTTTTTGCATTTCTTTTTTTTCTTTTCTTTTTCCCTCTCTTTGGGTATTATTTTTCTTTTTCTTTTTTTGGTATTATTTTGCATTTCACCTCTATGTAATAATTCCATCAAAATTAGTGCCCTACAACATATATTGATTGATTTTTATTTTATTTTTTTATCAGGAAAAAAAAGGCTCTGTAGTGTCATCATGGCCCCGTTGGGTCCTAGTCCCGAATAGCCGGTTGTCAGTTAGGAATTAACCCCCACTAAGTGAGGGACCCACCACCAGGGCACCAATGGAGGGCAACTACACGCCGCAGCAGAGGACAGGATTCGAGGGGAGTATGAACATATTTCTCAAGAGAGATTTCAAACGCCCCTCCGAAAAATCGACCTTGGCTCTCGGCTAGGAAATGTGCCGCATCCTCCACCAGGTCACCAACCCCAGTGATATATATTGATTGATTGAGTCGATGGTTTGGTGTCTGAGGATTTTATTTATTTATTTTTAAACCTGGGGTGCTACTGGCCTCAAGCTATTTGGTAAGTTAATTCTTTCCAATACAAGTCTAATCTTTTTTCTTTTTCTTTTTTTTTTTTTTGATATATAAGATATTCTGGGCTCACTTGTGCAAATCAAATTAAATTCTTATAGTTTGAACAAATCTTTTAAAATATATTTATTTTTTGTGATAGGTAATCTCAAAAGTTTTACTAAGGTCAAGTTTGGGAAGATTAAGGGGTTGTTTGGGGTGTCTTAAATAAGTGCACTCTTTGTCTTTTTGGACTAAAAAATTGAGGAAAAAAATATGGATGTTTGGGTTAACTTTTTGACTTTTTATGAAAAAATGTGTAATAAAAAATATTAAAATAAAAAATTATAAAAATTGGTTTGTAAGAGAGAATTAGGATTGGGAGTTGTGCAGCCGTAATTGTTGACTTTTAGTGAATAGTGTTAACTTTTTAACTTTTTGAGTAACTTTTTGACTTTTTGAATTTTTTCATACTATCCAAACTTGGCCTAAATAAATGCATTTTTTGATTTTTTTTGGCTTATTTTGGGAAGATGGTAAGAAGTGGCTTTTTGGCTTTTAACCAACCTTTTGGCTTTTTTAGACAAATGATTTGGGAAGTTGGTAAAAAGTGACTTTTGACTTTTTTGATTAATATTTGTTTATGATGTCAAATCATAATAAAATGACTAAACTACCCCCATTTATTTAAAATATTTGCAACTTCACCTATGTAACACATTTTGACCCATGAGGGGTAAAATTGTAATTTCACCGTTGGATAAAAACCAACTTCCCAAATGAAAAAAAAAAAAGCCAAAAAAGCCAACTTTTGACTTTTACTACTAACCAAAAAAAAGTGGCAAAAAACTATGTTGTCAAAATAAGCCTTTGTATTATGTGTAGAAAAAATAGAGAGGAGATGTTAATTAATGTGATTCAAAAAAGATAAAAAAATAAAATAAGTGTACTTTTTTTAACTTAGGCAAACTTAACCTAAGAAGGAAGCCAAACCTAAGACATTGATGGGAGTGATCCATTTCAAAATCTGACAACATCATGATGCTAACATCAGCCGAAGAAGACTTGAAAAACGATGGCAAGCAAATTCCTAACAAAAACTCGTCAAAGAGTATTTGGACCCAACCCACATGGGATCCTCATGGGGATTACAAGCTTTACAAGCTTATTAGCGAATTAGCCACGATAATCATTCATTTTTGGTCATCTAGTCAATGCGAAAAAATAATAAAAGATTCCTACTTAGTAAATATATATTTTGAAATCATAAAAGATTCCTACTTAGTAAATATATATTTTGAAATCACTGATCGTAGGACGTAAGTCCTACTTTGAATAATATGTTCGTGCTATAAAAAAATGATCTGGTATACGTAAACTATCTTACATAACAAAATAATAATAAAAGATCCGGGTCATAGTGTATCTAAGTGGGTTTTGATAAAGGCTATTTGATTCTTAATTATTAGTTTGTTTCTTCAATTTGTAGGTTAATGAGGAAAAAAAAGTTATAAGTGAATTGCGCTTACTCCAAGACCGATTGCGCTTACCATGGATAATGGAATCAACCTTCCAATTTTATTGAGAAATTTTATTTTTACACACTTAATTATTTTAGTACATATATTTAATAAAATATTATATTATTGATAATTATACCTAAAATTAAAATGATTATAATGGACATTCACCAATACTCATAATATTATATGAAAATATTCTCTGTACATATTTTTTAAAAACAAAAAAAAATCTCAATGTACACATTTTGAGTAAAAAAAAACTAAACCCTAATTTTTTTATTATTGTCACTTTACTTGCTACACATTCTATACTCTTCTATTGTTTGCAAAATAATACTCTTATAACAACTCTCATATTACTTTAATCTCTAAGTTTAAACTTTATTAGTGATGAAAATAGTAATTTTTTCGTGCATAACTACTTTTTTTTTTCTTTTCTATTTGTGGTTTTCAGCCGGACATCAATCGCCGAATTATTTCATTATATTCAAACATTAACTGCCTAAAGTTTTTTTTTTTTTTTCGAAACAAATTTGTCAAACTAATCACTTTTATTCAAAAGTTAAATTTCGAATTAAATGTCTAATTTCGGAAAGTCAGTGCCGAAATCCCCAAACCAAAAAGACATTAAAAAAAATAAGGTTTTATGACAATGATGTGCACAAAGATTTGGAAATGATAAATGGAATAATAAAATGGAAATATGCTTCATCTTCAACAATATTTTGGAGGGTTTTCAATAGTGCTTTCAATGGGGTCTTTAATGGAGGATTAATTTATCTTTACTTCACTTCACTTTGAATGGTCTTTACGTGGGTCTATAATGAGTCTATAAATCTAAAAGTAAGGTCATTCAACAAATGTGTGAAAATAAGGATTGAGTAGTGTGTGTACAATAGTTATTAGTGAAGGGTATAATTAAAACTTTTAGTGTGTTGATTTGAGAAAATTAATTAATAAGTGTGTGTACTAAAAGAAGTACTACATTGAAATAATTAAGTTTGTGGAAATAAAATTTCTCAATTTTGATGTGTGGGACCAATTGAGTGTGCGCAATTACCACAACACCCTCACACAACTAAATTATTTTATTATAAGAAATTTTGATCACAAAAAATAGTCAATACAAAATATCCTTATTTCATTTTCTTTTATATACACCTGAGGAAGCAGGCTAGAAGTGGCTTTTCCTTTGGATTCTTCTAAAGCCTTGAAAGGGCGGTCAACAGAGATACGAACCAAGACCTTTTCAATGTTTTTGGAAATCTTGCTCATAACCAAAAGTCAAACTCAATGGAGTCATCAAAAATTTTATCAACTGCAACAAGTTGGAATTGATCCTTGAGAGCAGGATAAACATGCCTACTATCTCAATTTATGTGTTAGTTATTGTTAAAAAATAATAGTTTTTGACAACTTTAATATGAAATTAAAGTAAGATTCAATCGCCGGTTGAGGTAAATTTAAGTGATGTCGTATTCTCTTAAGTAAGAAGATTACAATATAAGAATGATGGTCCGACATCATTGAGTTGTGAATAAAAATTGTCTTATAAAGTGGACACCAATAAAGTTGAGTTCCGATTTAAACTTTTAGTCTTGGTTTGGACTGAACCTAGACTTATATTTGTGCATGTGTTGGATTTAGCCTTAGACTTAGATTTGGACCTAGTCTTGAACTTTGAGCTGAGCTGTGCTAAGCTTAGCTTGTGCATATGTATGACACTACTAAAAAAAATATTTTTTGTGACCGCTAGCCGCTGCAAATAATAGAAATATAGTCGCAAAAGATCTTTTGCAACGGTGCATGTGACAGCAAATAAGGTTCACAAATGTGGAGGTGGCAAATACTTTTTGCAACCGCAAAACAACAATCGCAAATTATTTACGACCGCCTAATCTATTTATGACAACTGATGTTTTGTAGTCATAAAAAAGTAAAAAAAATGCCTACAATGTATTGGCAACCATGTTATTACTGTCGCAAATAATTTTTAATGATATTTTATAAATAATATAATAATAGCTTTTAGTAACGAATATTTTGAAACAAATCTACCAAATAACATCCTGCTAAAAATAATAGCACCAAACCATTTATTTGAGACAAATTTGGCAAAACCATATTTAATTTTAGGCTCTAAAAAGTGCTATTCCAGCTGCAATTTCTTGTAAAATTACATAATCCAACAAGCTAGCTACAGAAAGTGTCAATAACCGATTGTCCTTGCCAAATAATGATGCAATCAGCGATACAAGGTGCTCTTCCAACTCCTTTTTGTAGCCTTTTTTTTCTTGTTCTTCTTGTTCACAAGAATCTGGACAATAAGGAGAGGGGGAAATTCAGTAACACAAATCATGTAAATATAAGAACAACGAACACACTAAGATTAACATGACTGGGGGTATTTAACTTCCTAGAAACTTCTTTGTTTCAGCAAGCAGGCTTTGACACATTTATAACAGATTTAGTCTTGATTATTGCTTAATAGGAACCACTTGCATTGTGCTCAAGACTAAAATTGTATATACAATGTTGCCCATGGAATCTGAAAATATACAGATCCCATTCATGATGCAACACAACGCAAAAATCTAAATTTACTTGACTCTGATGGAAAAGAACCAACGGTAACTTTTTATCAGGGTTCCAACTAGAAAGAACCACCGGAAGTAAAGAGTAACATGACTCAAGATATACTAGGCATTGTAAGCCAAATGACAAAGAGAAAGAAGTAACTATGACATGGATACTCACAGTAGCAGCACGTCTTTCACTAAAGTAAGTACACTTCTGCCGCTCCTTGTACAGTTCATTCTTGGCTACATATTCCAATATCAAATAAACTCATTTCTGCAATGATTGTGTTCCAAAAGAGGTAACTAGTCAGGTGGCTATAAAAGCAGGCAAATTATCTATATGCAAAGCTGTATGTATGATGAACTACTAGACCAACCATGCCTGATCATAGAAGTATCCATAATGGCGTAGAATATTAGGGTGTCTAAGATGACTCTGGATTTCAACTTCATGGCAAAGCTGATGCTCAACCTGAGACTGTTTCAGCTGGCTCTTGAAAAGCACCTTTAGTGCCACAATATGATTGCTCTGTTCACAAATAATATATAAATTCAATTACATTGGACTTCATTATGCATAATACTACAAGCTCCAAAAAGATTTGGGTTTCTCTCTTTTATTTTCAAATCTTCAGACTAACTCAGAATTAAACATACAATATTGCTGCCGCAGAGGCAAAAAATTAAAGAACACAGAAAAGTCAATCAAATGGAATAAAAACACTCTGTTTGTCTGTTGATAAGGAAAAAATTGAAAAATGAAAATCTAATTTACAGAAGATAGCAAACACCACGGTAGAGAAGCTAACCAAATTTCATAAATTGCATTTAATAAGGGGCAATTGCATAAATTGCATTTGATAGGTTTCCTAGATAACATCATGACCAATGACTAATCTAAGCATGTCATATATGCATGGTCAATATTCATTATCAAACATTAACTAACTTAGTAGGGATTTGGCATTTAAATGTACTTCTTCATGGTCCATTACAACTTTGTGCCTCTTCTTGAATGTCTCAAAAAGTTCATCTCTTGTAGATAGAAGCTGATGAAAAATGGAGTGAAGAAAGTCACATCATTTGGTTATTCCACCATACTTTGAAAAATGCATAGTGTAAAGTTTTTTTGAAAGAAAACATAAATAAAGGGGGGAGAGGAGGGACAATAAAGTGCTACAAATATATAATAATAATATATTGCCAACAATCTTCAGGTTATACTTTGAACTGGACACATCCAAAGAAAGTTAAACCTGTTCCTCCATCTAAATTTTCAAGAAGAATCATAAGTCATTGCATAACACCTGTGTAATTACATTAGAAATACCATTACTTCTTCAAATGCCTCATTGAATCTGTTCTATATTCTAGTTAAGAGATTGGAATACATGGTTTCTGACAATCTGCTACTATATAAAATGTGGAGACATCAAATTCAATAGATTTACAGAACAAGTAACTTTTTATCTTCAAAATTCATTGACAATATCTTCATTGTCCCATCTTATTTCTCAAATCCCCACCAAATGCCCATAGAAGTGAATTGATATATAAAATATTCCAAAAATTTAAAGCTAGATCCCACGCATAAGCAATCGAACAATGCAAATTATTTAGAGCTTGAAACTATGGAAAATGCGAACAGTTCGCAGAAATTATACCAGTCGCTCTACATGGTCATTCCAAAAGCTAAAAGTCGAGTCCTTTGCCTCACGAATCCAGTTGTCAATGTCAGAGCTTCCCATCAATCTACTATGCTTCAAGACCCAATTGAACAGACCGAGAAACCAACAATCCCACATGTATAATGCATCCAGTACAAAGTTACTTTCTTTGGCTTCTGGTGTTTTGTAACCTAATGGAAAAGCAGGCAAATTCAGTAACACAAATCATGTAAATAGTTAAATTTCAGTCCACAATTGCTGTTGGCTGGTCACAATGCCAAATCAGCATAGGGTGGGGTTTGGGTCATGATGTAATGAGAACTTATAGGGTTGTTTGAAAATTAGGAGTTTTCATGATGTAGGACAACTCTATTGCTGTTGGACTATGATCTAGGACAGCTCAATGTACACCAACAACCACTTACAAAATAAGATTTATCAGGTGAAGGAATAGGACTTCAATCCTGAAGCAGTGTACAAACTGTTGTCTTAATCCAGCTTAGCTTAAATTCTTTAGATTCCAAATTTTGTCTCCACAATTCTGGATTAAAGTTTACTCCTCTTATGCCATCAACTAAAACTATATAGTCTACAAATAATACGATATCCTCTTGAATGTTCCTAATAGATTCATTTATAACTAATGCCAAAAGATAAGGACCTAGTATTGATTTTTTTTATTGTAAACCTATTACCATTAGAAATTCACAAGCTTCTCCTCTGTTTAAACAATAGTTACAACTCAGACATACATATATATCTTTAATTACATCAACATATCTAACTAATGCTCCTTTATTTTCCAAAACTATACACATTATATCTATCTAACAGCTCATAATGCTATTTAGGAAACCTATCATATATCTTATCTAAACCAATAATCACTATATAATGTCCCGCAAATTTAAAAACTTTTGTATCTCATGAGAATTTGTCAACAACTTTACTGCATATTTTTTCTTTTTCAGCATTATTTTCTCAGCAACAAAACAAAGGCAAAAACTATAAATATCATCAGAAAAATGTACAACATAAAACTCTCATCTTAATTTTCATTCTAAGGGACTAAAAACAGAGCTAAAGAATCAAACTCAATTTCTTCAATTTTAGTTTCTGACAATTTCTAAGTAGATAAACAGAGGCAAAATGGAGAAATATGATCAGACAAAATAAAAACATATTGAATTTTCAGGCTTAAGAAGCAAAAAACAAAAAAAAAAATCGAAATGAAAAAATAAAACTGAATTGCATTCATCGAATAATAGAAATCATCAAATTTGAACATTGCAAGGGTCATCCGTCGATCCAAACCCTAAGAGCAGATTCAAATCGCAAAATGAGAAGAAACGAAGGAAAATAGAAACAGAGAGAAGAACTTCCAAGAGAGAGTACCTTGAACTCGATCGAAACCTTAGGTATCTGAAAACAAGAACAAACACAGAAAGATACTAGAGAGAGAGAGAGAGAGAGAGAGAGAGAGAGTACCTTCTATGATTGAGTTCAAAAGAATCGGGAAAAGCTTATTTGTGATTTTAGAATATAAGAAACAGAGAGCACAAGATTGAGGAGAACATCAAGGTGAGAGAAAGATTAAGGATTGACTTTTTAATTTTTTAATTATTTTAATTTAAAATTAAAATGTTTAATTTAAGAATAAATTTATTAACTTTTTAAAATTTTTAGTGAGATATCTTCGTGATAAATTAGTTATTGCCCGTGACATAATTAATACTTGTCAACGAATTGCTTCCGGTCCTCCCCATCAATTGATGAAATTATCAAATTGCCCCTGACATAATTAATCCACGTCAACGAATTGCTTTTGATCCTCCACATCAATTGATGGCAACGGACCAAAATTGTTTTGAATTTTTTTTTTTTTTTTTCTGTTTGGGTTTGGATTTAGCATTTTTTTATGTTTTTTTTTATTTGTTTTTTTTGTCATTTTTTTTATACATTAATTAGTTCTTGTTTTTTATTTTTATTAGTATACAATAACTTTTTTTTTTATTTTTCAAAAATGAATTTTCATGTTTTTATTTATTTTTAAATTATGTCGTGAATGGTAATTTATGTTTTTATGTTTTTTTTTTAAATATTTTTGAATGAGGTGCATTTTTCTCGTTATTTTTTTTAATTTACGTTTTTGTCATTTTTTAATTTGTACACATTAATTTGTTTTTATATTTCAAAAATGACGTATTTTTGTCGTTCTTTTTTTTTGAATTTATGTTTTTGTAATTTTTTTTAATTTGTTTTTAGTTTTCAGAAATGATTTTTCATGTGTTTTCCTTATTTTTAAATTATGTGGCAACTAGTAATTCATATTTTTTACTTTTATATTTTTTTATTTTGTAGTTTGTTTTTAATTTGTTTGGTTTTTTTGGGAACACATTTTTTTATGTCATTTATTTAAAATGAAACTTGTAAAATCATATATTGCCGTGACACATAACAAAAAATGAGGTCTGTTTTGGTTTTTGTTGTTTCAAACTTGTGTTTTTATGTTTTTAATTATTATTTTTTGGATGAGCCATATTTTTTGGAGTTCTTTTTTTTAAATTTACAAAATTGTCAAATTTTTTTTGTATACATTAATTTGTATTTATATTTCAAAAATGGGGTTTCATGTGTTTTATTTATTTGTAAATTACGTGATAAATGCTAATTTTTTTTATGTTTTTATTTTTATTTTTTTGGATGAGCCATAAACTTTGTCGTTCTTTTTTTTTAATTTACGTTTTTGTCAACTTTTTTTATTTGTATACATTAATTTGTTTTTGTTTTTGAATAATGGGTTTTCATGTGTTTTATTTTTTTCCAAATTACGTGGCAAATGCTAATTTCTGTTTGCAAATTTCTTTTTTGTTTCTTTTTTTTGTTTGTTTGATGAGACTTATTTTTGTGGTTCTTTTTTTTTCATTTACGCTTTTGTCAATTTTTTTTAATTTGTATACATTAATTTGTTTTTAGTTTTCACAAATGGTTTTTCATATGTTATTCAGATTTTTTTACAGTGTATTGTGAAATAGGAATTAAATTAATGTAATATAGAAGTCACATATAAAATAAGGTATTATTTGACTTTTCTTATTTTAGTATATTTTTTATTATTTTATTTTTTTACTTATATCATTTTTTTATTTTTTATAAGAAATTAAAAAATATATTTATTTAAATTATTTCAAATATTTTTTAAATTTAAATCATAAATATAATATTTTAAATAATTTTTAAAATTTTAGGTCTAAAAATTATAGCACTATGTACATGTATAACATCATTGTACTTTCGTTTGTTTTTGGAGAGTGACAGTACAACAAAGGGAGGCTGTGCTGGTGTCAACATTGAATGAAGGGTAGTTTGGTACTTTCACCCCGCCATGTATGTAAGTCATGCCTCTAAAGTAATGTTTGTCATTTAGTGGCTAAATTAGCCAATTTTGGACTGTAGTGGCTATTTTAGCCCCAAACTATGTTACCAAACGGAGGCTGAGAGAGAGACAGCGAGAACGCGCGTGAGAATGAGAACGATCATTGTGAGGGGCTAGGGCAAATATAAGGGAAAAGGGGAAAATACATTGTGAGGGGCTAGGGCAAATATAAGGGAAAAGGGGAAAATAATATAAGAAAATAAGGAATAAATTAGTTATTTGCGACTGATAATCAGAGGGTCGCAAATTATATGGTAGCAAAAGGCCACTTTTGTAGTAGTGAGATTGGGCTTGGATCGGGGTTGTGACTCAACACCCGTATCCATTTTGCAACCCATCTAGTTTAATTCTTAAAACTTATGTATTACATAGACATTATGATTAATATAATGGTTTTGGAGTTTTGAACCTTTATAACTTTAGTCCTAATAGTTAGAGTTGATAATATTTGATAGCCTTGGTTAATGGCAATTGATGCCATAGCCTTTATGGCTACGGACTCTCCTATTTGTATAAATAGAGGCATTTTCACTCTAACTTAGATGTATATTTAGAAGAAAATTTTTAGATGAAAAATGGAGATGTTGTTTTGAGATCATGAAGTTTGAGATGGTTTTTATACTAAAGAAAAAATTCCATATCTTCTTTGCTAGCCTCTTCTTTGGTTCCTATTAGAGAGAGAGTGCTGCTAAGTTCGCTAAAGCTATTCAGAAAATTAAAAGGTGCTTCTGCATAAGCTAGTTTCGACAGTCGTATCCTGAGAAACATACGTCGGCATACCTTCAACACCTATCGAGAGGCGGTGAATCTATTTTAAAAAAACTATGGTATCACACAAGTTTCTATTTGCTTTCTATTTCTTGTTTCAGTTTACTATTTTATTTTAGAATATTTGTTATATATATTTCTGTGCATCAAATTGTAATATTCTGCATAAAGAAATTCTATCATTTATTGTTCTATAATCTGAATTTAATTAAATATGAATATGTTTATTTTTATTAAAATATATAGTTAGAACAAATTGTTATATGAAGGTATCGTTCTACAAATTGTATGGAGGTAGGGGAATAAGTTTGGATAGGCCAAATTGTCATGCAAGTTGTGCAGCATTGTATGATTCCACTTCACGTTTATTGCTATTTGGGTTCGCGGGGTAGGTTTAGAGTAGATTTGTCATCCCCTGCCCCACGAATAAAACTGCACCCCCCGCCCCAACTCTATTATGGGTGAAATTTTTTCAATCTCACCCATCGCCGTGGATACCCACTCACATTGCAACTTGCCAAAAAAATGATCCAATAAGGAAAAAAAATCAAGCATGTCGTATTTTAAATTGCAATTCCTTATACACATCCCATATTCCAAACAAGAATATGTACAAAATTATACACTAAATTGCAATTCCTTATACACATCCCATATTCCAAACAAGAATATGTACAAAATTATACACTATTTTTAGGTTTCTTTACTTTTAAAATTTTCTTATGTCTAATTATAAATATTATTTATTTTTATACATTTTTAATTATATCGGATCGGGTTTGAATTAGAGGATGCAATTCTTGCCCGGCCCTTGTTGCTTGGGATCAAAGTGTAATCCATCCCCATGACGCACAAGTATCAAATCAAGTAATATTAATCCCATTCGAATCGAGTATTGCAACCCCGAATCGGGTTAAAATGGCCATGCCTAGTAAACTCCGGCTACATGGCAAGTCCTTGGAAATCAAAAAACTAGCCTAGACCCCTAGACCTCAACAAAAAATAAAAAATTTATAAGAATCCAGAGTGCATAAATAAATAATAATTATCAATAGTTTGCTTTATCGATTTGTGCCAAATTTAGCATAATGTCATCCATAGTCAAATTTGACATGATAAAAACATCATGCAAAATTTTAACACAATGAATATTTAACTATTTATTATCCCCAAAAAAGGGTCACATGTATTTTTATATAAATTTAATAAAATAAATAAATAAATACCTTAAATAAAAAGAGTAGTAAATGCCATTTGAAAATAATTACAATTCAAAATACAATTTAAAGACATTTTATCATAAAATAATATCAAAATTTTATTTTATCTATTTAATGTAAGTTTAAATTAGGAAAAGTATCCTATCAGTGAACTTTAGCAAAAATAATAATAAATTAGTGAAAAATCTTATAAATATTAATGATTAAAATTATGATCTTTTTCATGAATATATAATTTTTTTCCTAAGATTACACTAGTGGCAGGATAGACACAAGAATGAAGTAAGAATAATAGTTGTCAATGGTCTTGTAGAAAATGTAGTTGCGATGATTAAGAAATGTGATAGAATTATGTTAATTAAACTAGTTATTAGAAAGCATAGAGTGAATGTATTAGTGCATACGCCCCCCAAGGAGGTTTAAATGATCAGACTAAAAGAGATTTTTAGAACCAAATGGATGAGATATTACAAGAGATACCTGCAGGAGAGAATCTTGTTACAGGTGGAGATTTTAACGGCCATGTAGGAATAAATAAACTAGGTTATGAAATGGTGCATGGTGGATATGATTTGATGATAGAAATGAGGTTGGAGAGAGTATTTTAGAGTTTGCATTGGCTTCTGACCTCGTAGTGGCCAGTACTCTATATAAGAAGAGAAAGAAGCATTTGATAACCTTTAAGACTGAGTTAATTAGGAGTCAAATAGATTACTTTCTAGTAATAAAAGTTGACTATCTAAAATGCAGCAACTATAAGATAATTCTTGAAGAGAATTTGAGATCTCAACATAGGATTTTGGCACTAGATTTATGCTTTAAAGGGAAATACCGAGTTAGGAAGGATAGTTGGCATCATAGGATGAGATGGTGTGACCTAAAAGTAGATAAACTATAAATATTTAACAATAGAATGGATAAAGAAGGTGCTTGGGAGATGATGCTAACATTATGGCACGGTTTGTTACAGCTTTTGGAGAGTGATTATAACTTATTTTGATTTGGAAGTTTGTGTCAAATTATTTGGTGTAGCTTCTGTTTATACCTTATTAACCAGA